GGTGGACAGGACATTTAATTAAGTGCTACAGTGGTGTAGATATTATCCAACCAACCTATTTCAGAAATGTTATTACAAACCTCTCTAGCTGGTGGGACTTGAATCTGAACCTCCTGATTCAGGGGTGGAGCCACTACCACTGCCCCAGAAAAGCTCATACCTAAACACAGCCATCTTCTCACCTTTGCCAACTTAAGTTCTGGGAAGGAAGGTCAATAGTCAACCTTCCCACCTTTCACTAATTAAGTCCCTTAATAAAGGTGATAGGTAAAGTCACCATAGTCCCAGGGGACCTCGCTCATTAGAGAGAGGACTGATCGTGGTTTAACCTAAGAGTCAACATGCTTCAGGTGAGGGGAAAGATTGAGAAGGGGGGTCCTTTGCGGTAACCTCAGCTGGTGCAGAACCCATGCTGTTAGCATCACAAACAGCAGCTCCTGTCAATCAGTCCCTTAATGGCCAATTATTTACCACTTAGTGGTCTCAGCCTACTGCTGCTGGTATTTACCCAGTTCCAGGCGTATCCAGCAGCTAAAACTACGTTTCCAGTTTTTCAGCTCCTGGGAGATTTCTGTGCCTGATCGAGCAACTGGATATTGGTAAAATTAAATGGCAGATGGATTTCAATGTCAGTAAATTGAGGTAGTAGTTTTGGTTAAAGAAAGTAGTAATTCTACTTTGAATCAAGAAAGCTTTGTAAAGTAGATGAACAAAGCAAGCTGGCTTGTGGAGAATACAATAAAACAGCACTTTGAATCAATAAAGCCATAAAAATGTTAATGGAATGCTGCAGCTTATGATGAGTTACAGATTTAAAAAGCTAGAGATGTGATAGTGAACCCATAGCAAATTATCATAAATTCACTTGTGGAGCAATGCATGATTTTTTTTAAACTTTTTTCATGGCATAAGAGTGTTACTGGCAAGGCCAGTATTTGTTTCCCATTCTAACTGCCCTTAAGGTGGTGGTGAGTGTCTTTGAGCCCCACAGTATAGGGTGTTCAGTTGACTGTGCAGATTCAGTAAGATGCTGCCTGGTGAGGCCATTCTAATTTGAATAGACTACAAAAATTGGAGCTATCTTCATGAGAACAAAGGAATGAGACCTTTGAAAGGGCTGGTTGAAATTAAAAAGGGATTGGGTAAAGTTGTTTGAAACAGACTTATGCAGTAACTGAGACAACAAGGTGCAGAGCTGGACGAACACAGCAGGCCAAGCAGCATCATAGGAGCAGAAAGGCTGACTTT